GGAAGCGATTAGCGGCAGGGTGTGTGTGTATGTGTGTGTGTGCGCGCGTGCGCAGAGCTTCTGGGAGTGGGTCTGACCTGGCCCTGGCCGCTCCTTGCAGGGGACGACAAAGTCCTGTCCTTCCCCAACCCAAGCACAGCCGGGACTAGCAGCTGAGCCTGGGTAGGAACCACTAGCTGGGGCATCCCCAGCCCCTCCTTCCACGGTGATTTATCTCTCTGCTGGCTGCTCCGGGTGCACAAAACGATGTGTCTGCGCATCTGGGGAGGGGCATGTGACCGCTCATGCAGCTTTCCTTTGCTTCTCCCATTAGAAGTAATTTTTCTGTGTGGGACATGAATTCCGAATACGCACAGTGGCGCAGAATTCCCCCTGGAGTAATGACTTCAGTGGGAGTGGAAACCTGCCATTTATTTTTGTACAGATGTCCCCTTTTTTTATCAAATTTGAACATCTTGATTTAAATCCTACCAGGATTGTATTTTAATTAAAATCATATTTTTTCCTCACATGATCAAAATCATATTTTTAATCCTTGTCTTTAGTATTAGGTGTTTAATAAAATATTTTAAACTCTTTGAAGAATCAAAATAAAAATATTTGATACTTAATTTGTTTTTCATTTGTTGTGGATTTTGAAATGAACTAAGGAATATAGAACATTGAGTTGGGGTGCTGTGTATTTGTGCCAGTCCTATTGGGTAAAATCAGAATTGCTCTACTGTGTGCGATAGGCACAATATTACTAACAGATAATGGAGTTTCTCCTTTGTCTGAAGTGGTAGGTGCCTGTTTGAAAGCAATAGGATATGAGTTCTAGTTCTGTTGCTGCCATGAAGTTCTGAGTTGTTAATGACAACAGCTGTGGCTTTTAGTTGACCATGAGGTTTGTTTTAGCACTTCGTTCTGTTGTCCTTATTTCATGTATAAAATTTTTTGTCACTAGCAATGTTTTCCCACTGTATTTATGGATCATTATGGCCTCCCTCTTTTGGCTAATTTAACTCTATTAAAAAAACATGGTTATTCACTGACTATGCAACTTATTGACAAAAGACCTATTTAAAGTCCATTGAAGTTAGTGGAACTCTTTCCATTGACGTCTATAGATTTTAAATCAGACTCGGCATTATAGACTGAGTTAAGACTTTCAGCTGCCTTTATAGTTTGAAAACATAGGCCTACATTGCATAAAAAAAGTGTGCTTGCCTGTTTGTGGCGTCCATTTGTAGTACATGCAGATGGATAGCTACATGTATAGATATTCAGTTACCCATTATGAGTGTATCCATATTGATGCATGTGTAAATTAGACTTAGATGCTAGTGTCTGAAAATTTGGCCCATAACATTAGCATTCTGCAGGGAGTCTTTTCAGTCACAAATTCTTAATTTCTCTTCTGTCAAATTATTAATTACATTTCAACCTTTAATTATCTTTAATGTTCAAAAATACTATATACTAATATTTAAACAACTTTTATAGTTAAAGAATCAAAACACATTATTCAATACAAAGTCTCATTTTCATGGAATTTTGCATGCATGCAGCTCTTGGTACGTACAGTGGAACCTACTTAAGATGTTATTATTGTTATTAATCATTCATATAGCACCATAAATGTACAAAGCACAGTGCCATGTGCTTTATAGTCCCTATATTTATTTTTTATTAATTTTTTTAGTCATTCACAATATGTTTCTGTTCCATTAATGAAAGAGACTGTATGATCCCTTAGATGGCCAGAATAATATTTTTTGAAATTCCCATGAACAGTAAAACAGAAATGTATTTCGATAGTAGTGAGTTAAATTCTCTCATGGTCAGATCTTGAATGGACATTCAAAAAGTTCTTTGTCTATAACTGTCATTAATTGTCAAAATCAGAACTATATTATTGACAATGGAGGGTAATAGAGGCAACTTATTCATCTCAGATAGTGATCAGGATGTGATAGAACTGGAGAAAAAAAGATAAAGCACTCCTCTTGTGGTGCAAGCCCTCCAAGTGTGAGGAAAGAGAGGGGGGGAAAAAAAGACCAAGGAAAAAATTGCCCTTTAAAAACCCGAAAACAAACTAAGAAACAAAATATTATTCAAATCACTTGTACATGATTTTTTCTTAAAAAGCATCTTTTGTAGAAGCTGAGAGCTGGGAGAAAGCTCACATTGATTTCTAATGACCTGAAACTACTCTTTAAGTCTTTTTTAGCAATATCTAAAAGAACAGTGACAAACTCCTTTTAGATAGTTTTTAAATGGTATATAATCATTAAAATTCCAGGAACCTACACAAGCTTTAGAGTATATACAGCACTTTATGATTCTGCAGAATTCAGGTTAAATAAAGAAACACAAGAAAGGGGGCTCGATCCTGCACCAACTGACATTAATGAAATTTTGCTATTGAGTACAATGGAAGCAGGAATGAGCCCATACTTTGTTAAACAGTGTGAATTATTTTGGGAAATAATAGATATATTTATGAGTGAAATATTTCTGTTTTAAATAGGGGTGACAATTTTCGCTTCAAAGTATTTCATGAGTCAGAAAGGTTCCAGACTTTTTCCTTTTAGAAATCTGATCTGATGGTTACGTTTGAAACCATTCCTGCAGCAAGGTTCATAAATAATAAATATTATCTCTTATTAATCCATATTTTAGCTTAACTCTGGCTCATAGCAAGCTACTTCCTCAGGGAATGGAGAATTCTTTACAAGGGAAGGTGATGAGCCACAGCCCCCAAGGAATTAAATTGTGAAAACAATCTTGGTTTCGTACATGCTAATATAGATCTGTTATTCCCCTTCCACATTTATCACAACACATTTTAAATTGTGGCTGATCTTTTATGCAAATAGCTGTCTTATTAGACATTGCGGCAGTATGTGCTAATGTCTCTATGGGTTTCTTGGGAGTTTGCTATCTAACCATCAAAGCAGTAGAAATGAATGATGATTACTGCATGGCTTTGAAGAACAAAGAAAAGTCACAGCATTTTAGAGGTTCTAGATGCCTGAGTCAGTGACAGTTTGAACCACACAGATGAACAGAAATGTCTCTGTGGCTCATATTAACTAGGCCAAATATATGTTTTAACTACTGGGAAATAATTTTTCTGCACTCTTGTGTTTTATTGGCAGTACTAAAACTGCAAGCTTCTTTCACAGCTAACATTTTGTTACAAAACATTACAAGGCTATTGAAAATGCAAAAGGCAAGTCAAACATTGTTTCTGACAGTGGAATAAAGTAAACCAAAAACTGGATTTTTGCTGCATAAAATTTTGTATTATCTACTTTGTTAGTTGAAATATGAACTTTATTTTCCATTACTGTTGCCATGGTATAAGCTGGGTTATGATTTTACAGGCAATAGGGGCAAGGGACTGAAAAAAAAACAAATGTAATACTTTCCCCTTAGTTTCATTCAGCTTAGTATATGCTATAGATACCTAAATGTGGGTTATTTACTGAGTTAAATGTACTTAGTATATGAAAATCTTCAGTGATATTAATTTTGACCTGCACTAAAAGTGCAGCAATGTTAATTTGTATATTTCTGTTCCTCTTGAACACATTTAAAGTATTCACTGATTTTGAAGACTCAGTTTCATTCTAAATCTTATGGGTCATACCTTAAGATATAGGGCCTGTTTCTACTGTTAAAGTCAGTAGAAATTTTGCCATTGGCCAAATTCTTCAGTTATTTACATGAGTTTAAATCTGGAGTAACTCCACTTAAGTTAATGGAGTTACTTTGTATTTGCACTAATGTAATGGGTGCTGATTTCTGGCCAGTGCTGTCAGCAAAAAAGCAGAATTGGGCCCCAAATGGACAAACAGTGAAAATAATTGCTGTATCGTTTGATGCATGAATAAGCCCCGGGGATAATTCCTGGGACTGTGCTTTGAACCTGGCTTGAAAACAGTTATGCCATTGACAAACTTGTCTTGGTGGTTTAATATATATTTTTTGCACGTGGATTTAAAGCCAGATTTTGGTTTTTGGAATAGAGGGTGAAATTAATCCATTTCCAGCATCCCACTGCACCAGGTAAACCACGTGTTGTTACTTGGTGGAGAGAGAAACATACCAGAGGGAGCAGCTGTATACAGCATCTTAGCACCTCTTATATAACACACAGCTGGTGTGTTTGGGATCATCTGGAAGGGTTATTGGAACCATGATTGTGTGGATCTAGTAGAGAAAAGTGATACCAACGTGTGAAGAAGCTGTGATTATTAGTGGGAATAGCAGCCTCAGAGGGACTGTGTGCAGCTCCCCAGCCTGCATGCAAGTTGGGAGATAGATTCCAATCTGCTCCAGTCTATTTGGAGTTCCCTATACAAAAGGTTGATTAATTAGACTTGGAAGGTGATGGGTGAACTTCATCCTTGCTGTTTTAATTTTAGAACATCTGTAAGTTTTGATGCATTACTCTTAAGGTTTAAAAAATAATTTTAATAGAGAGATAGTGGATTTAGATTGTGGAGATAAGAGTTAGGTTGTAAATTTGTAGTCCCCATTTGTGCACATCCCAATTACTACACATGTATAATATGATCTGATTTGTCATCTCTGGTCAAGAGAAACCTGGAATTGGAATAGCAAGTGTGAGGACTAAGGTACCTCAGTTCTGGACTGAGCTGCAATCCAGGAAAATCCATGCAGTTCCCTCTCCAGAATTTTCTCTGAATTCATCTGTTTATTCCCTGCACTGGAAGAAATGAGTTAGACCCACACTACTTGCTAATCCCCAAACACGTGCGTGGATCTTGGCTATCATCCTAGGATAGAGGGCCATCCATGTGGAGTCCCGGCATTTCTGCAGTAGCTTGCGTCCCCTGGTGTGGCTCTCTGACAGCATGGCACTGTCAAGGCTCCCCAATGACTGTTCTTGAGACTCCCCTTTAAGAGCAAGGAGAATTAATATAAGAAATACAGGAAAATTAATACAGGCTCTGACAGTATTTATTCTCCTCTGGTTTTGCTGCTAGGTGAAGTTGGAGGACAATCAAAGTGACTCCACCTACTATCCACCCTTTCCTCACTTGGCGATTTCTAGAACTATGGACAGGCTTCTCTGGGTGGCAGGAGAATGGGGCACAGCTTCTGTGAAGGCAAGCAGACTCCCCCTTCTACTTTGGATGGGGGAGGTAAGTGCACGGGAGGCCTCTTCATGTGGATCTCACAAGCACAGTCTGGCCCTATATCTGTATGAGCCTGCACATTGTCTTCTCTTTTACTAGCTTATATTCTTGGGCACCCAGATTCTGTGGGGATGGGCATAGTAGAAATCTGAATAATAGCAGATTTTAAGTTCAGTCAGTGATTTATCGAAGAAAAATAGTTATACTAAAAGTGATTTCAACTATACCAAGGTTCATATTGGATGGCAGCTTGTTTTGTTATAATTTCTTATACTGTGATTATTTTGTTGTTCAAACTAATGAGTTCTGTAATATTAATAAACCAAAACATAGAAAAAGAGTACTTTTAGAATTCATCTTATAGTGTTTGTAATATTGATGATTAGTTCCAGTATTTTGTTGTTGTTCTTTGAATGATTGTACATGAACATTCTACTGTAGGTGTATGTGTGCTCCAATGCAGTTGTTGGATAATTTTTTCCCTTAATGATACACATCAGGTGGCATGAGCGCCTTGCGCTGCCTCATGTATTACATGCAGGCATAAAGGGCAGAGCCACCCCAAGTTCCTTCCTACCCCCAAGACAGTTGTTGAAGCTCCCAATTTTGTCTCTTCAAGTCCCTTCTTTTTGTTGTAAATAGATAGATACTACTATCTATTTACATTTTTGTTAATGGTCTGTAATTTAGTTAGTGTAGTTTAGGTAGTGTAGCTTTATTTAGTAGTTTAAAAGTTTGTCACCGATTCCCAATTTGGTCCTAATCCAAGAGCTACACTGTGCTCTCCAGGCTTCAAAGCTTGCCACTCTTGTGGCAAACCACTGCCAATTAGTGACCAATTAGTGACCCAGCTGCTTTAAGTGCTTGGGGGAGGCCCCGTGAGTGACAGATGCAGACTCTGTAAGGGTTTTAAGCCCTGATTCAAAAAGGACAGGGCAGCCAGGTTTAAGTACATGTTGTTGATATCAACACTCTGCCTTCCATTGAACCATCCACCCCACTCTGGGTGCTGAGCTCATCGGTCAGCTGTGTTCCTCCGGCCTTGCTGGTACCAATAGGTAAGTCAGTTTTGTTGGTGCCAAAGAAGAGTTACCGCAAGTCAAACTTGGTACCAGGTACCTCAAGAGCAGAGACAAAGCAGTCAAAGGACTTGGGGGCGCGCTCTAAAAGGAGGCACTCTTTGATGCATACATCAAAACAGGGAGTTCATTGATTCCAGAGCCAACTACAGGCCTGTTGAGATTAACTCCTGAAGTGCCATCAGCGTTATCACCTCAGGCTTCGGTACAACAGGATCAGAACACTTTCCTGGTACTGTTTACTCCCAAAGCATTTGCAGTTGCGAGAGGGTTGTTGAATCTCTCAGTACCACTTTCGCTGGCAATGCAAGAGTGTCGCCTGGCGCCCAAGGTACCAACACTCATTCCTTCACCTCTGCACCATGTGGGAACATGGGATGCAGCAGTTAGTGTTCTGTTCAAAATGGTACCGTTGAGGGGAAAGCCGCCATGATCTCGGCAGGACTCCCTTCTCCAGATTCTGCGCTTACCTCTCCAGTATCGATGGCTCCTCCTTTGTTGACATTTCTTCTCCCTTGGATTCTGAAGTGAGTTCCTATGTGTCTTAGCCTAGTCATATCCACCAACCTGCATCCAGTACCTGGATTCAGCCTCAATTCCAGCATGACGCTTACTGAAAGGATCCTTGGGCCTCACTAGAAGAGACGTCCACCACCACTTTGTGCCTCTGGCTGCATTCTTCAAGACCTTACTTTGATGCGTTTGCCAAGAGCAGATACCAGTTCTAAGAGCGTCTTCTTTCCCTTCTCCAATTTTTGCAAACCACTCACAAAATGCGTTTGGGCTCATGTCACAATAGATTGGTAGGTTTTTAACATGGTGGAAGTGCAGTGATCCCTTCCCTGTCCTTTTTCAGGGACCTCTCTCATGAAGCCATATTGTTGTGCGAGACATTTTTCGGCCCATGTTAGATGAACTTGGCCTGCTGATCAACATGGAGAAGTCCATCCTATCTCTGGTTCAAAAAACAAATTTATTGGAGTTACGTTTGAGAGAGCTATGGGGCTGGTTGGCCGAAGTGTATTTCATTGAGGAAGCATCATGGACATGATAGTTCACATTCCAAATTGAATCTTATTCTCCCTAGATTGGTGGATAGATCCTGCCAACATTTTCAAGGGAGTTCCCTTTGCCTGGCCTCAACAATCTCTCATCTTAGTCATGGATGCCTCGGACCAGCATACTAGTTGTGGAGGGGTGGGACTCATTTGGGTCTGCTACAGACACAAGATCTCTGGTCTTCCCAAGATCTCAGTCTGCATATAAATGTAAGGGAGTTGCAAGCTATCTGGTTAGCTTGCATGGTATTTCTTCCACAAATCAAAGGACTGGGTTTGTTGGTTATGACCAATGATACAGTGGCCATGTTTTATGTAAAAAAACCAGGAGGAGCCTGATCTTCACTGCTGTCATTTAGCCATTCTACTTTGGGCCTTCTGCATTGCCAATTCCATAATCCTGAAAGGAGCTTACCTTCCACAGATCCACAGTACATTGGCAGATCGCTTAAGCAGGCTGTTCATCAACCACTGCAAGTGGTCCCTTCACGCAGATATTGCAAGGTCCATTTTCCAGCTTTGGGGAACTCCACAAGTGGATCTGTTTGCAACAAAAGACATCAAAAATGTCACCAATTTTGCTCCCCAGTGGGCCACTGTCCAGGTTCATTGACAGATGTGTTTCTAATGTCGTGGTCAGATGAACTCCTGTATGCTTTTCTTTCCATTCCTCTCCTGCTCAAAGTTCTGTGCAAAGTTAAGCAGAACAAGTCTCATCTTATGCTGAGGGATGGCCCTGTCAACAATGGGGGGGATGGCCCTGTCCAACACTGTTTTTTAGAGCTATTAGTCCCTCATTGTCATTCCTGCTACACATGGACTTGATTTTACAGAATCAGGATCATCTCCTCCATCCCAATTTGCAGACCCTTCTCCTGATGACTCGGAGGCTTTGTGGCTAATGACTGCAGAGAAGCCCTGTTCTAGGGTTGTTCAGGAAGTGCTGCTAAATAGTAGAAAACCATCAGCTAGGAGTCTTTCCGGTAGGAAGAAGCTGTGGGAGGTCAGTGGCGGTTCCGCACTTTATGCCTGCACGAGGCAGCAGAGGGTGATCGTGCTGCCCCAATGGGCAGCTAAGGGAAAAATTCTGACAGCTGTGCATTGGGGTAGGGTACACATACACCTACAGCTGAGTAGATGTGTGCAACACATCTCAAAGAAAAACAGTTACAGAAAGGTTAGTAACCATTTCTACCATGTATAGTTTATTCCTTTTGTATGTAATTTAGATAACTATTTTACTTGTGTAAAGACTTTCTATGACATGCATAGAATTCATTGGTTTGTTTAGATAATTGATTATTTAAAAATAATGTGATTCTTTCCCCCCCCTTCCTTCCTTAGTGGTTTTGGATTCAAAAAGGATGGGTAGAAAGGATGCATCTGCTGCAAGAATTCCTGTTGAGCAATACAGGAAACAAATAGGTAAGGAATACAGATTAATGTCTCCTTTTGGGATGCATCTTGTGTACAGTGTTAAGGGCCAGCCCATTCAGCAAAGTTTTCTGACAGAAGAAAAAATGTATAATTTTAAAAGAAAACAGCATTGTGACGTTTCACTCCATATTCTTTATGAAAATATGCTTATGATGTGAATATGACATAACTGAGATGTACTTTATGCAAGATGGGTTTTGTAAGATATCATTGGAAAGGTTATAATTTACTGAATGTGATTATCTAATTTGTATCCCTGTATCATTTCTGTATCTGAAGTTAGGAATATTGACTATGTATCTGTATTTCAACTATGCTATTTTGGGTTATGCCCACTGCTAGCACTTCAGGTACAACAGTGGAAAAGCCAGACAGGGCTTGATGACCCATCAGCGAGGACAATGAACTGTGAAAAGGCTTGGCCTTCTTGCAGACGCTCCATACTGCCACTGACTCCTGGACGATGTGATACTACAGAGTCAGGTGGTCTTGTCACCTGATACTAAACATTACCTGGGACTTCTTGTAACTTTCCACTGGAAGGGATTGGGGGGGGTGTCAAGTTTGGGAACCAAAGGATTCCCACCTTATGTAAATCCTATTTAAGGTTGGGGAGGAAAGTAGATGGGACTGCTCCTCTCCATGGCCTGTCTGCCAAGAAGAAAGACTGCTAAAGCCACCTGAAGTGAAGGCAAGGGGGGGAGTCCAGACTGATGCAGGGTCCAGTCTGAAAAGGAATATAACTGGAACTCCAATTTACATTTGGTAACCTGTTTTTTTAAGTATATTGAGCTTAGCTTGCATATTTTGCTTTATTTGGTCAGTAATCTGCTTTGTTCTGTCTGTTATATCTTATATTCACTTAAAATTCACCTTTTATAGTTAATAAACTTATTTCTTGTTTATAATATAACCCAGTTTATGTAATTTCTAACTGGAGGGGGGACAAGAAGTTGTGCATATCTCCCTCCACATTACTCATACCAGTATCCCTCTTAAGATTCCTAAATTTTACTTTATATGTTTCAGGGGTAATCTGAAAACTTTGCAAAACAGTATCTTCAAATTTACAATAGTCTAAAGCATCTTCAATAGGCATTCCATTGAATACATTTTGAGCTTTACCAGTTAATTTCGCAGTCATGGTAGGAACTCTCTTATCAGGGATTTCATGTATTACACACAGCCTTTCGAAGGTAGTCAGTTATTCCGCAATATCATCGTCCTCACTCTATGCAGGACATAAGTGTTCCCATTTTTGGATTTTTGGAGTGATGTGTGGGGTAGGGGGCCTCTGGTTCTGCTTCTCTAGCAGGTCTAGTTGGTGTTTTTACTCTTTCTTTTTCTTCTCACTCTCTTTTTCTTTTATCTCCAGTTCTTTCTGTTGCAATAATCTCTGGTGCTCCCTCTCCTTTTCTGCAGACTGCAGCCTGAAAAGCTCCAACTTCGCAGTTGCTTCACTGCTTTCACTCATTTTCCTGCTCTTCTGTGCCTACTTCTCTTTCCCCAAATAAGCAAACAGAAAATAACAAAACTGTGACCTCCTCCTGACAGTTCTAGCCACTGCACTTAAGACTCACTTAAAATCACAAATATCAGTGCTTAAAGTGTGAACTCCACTTGGAGTAACAAGCTGCACATACACCCTGCTCGCTGCGCCACTGTGACGTTCCCCTCTGGACTGGTGAGCTGCTAGGCCACTCCAATCCTCGACTCTGGGAGCCAGCCTTACCCTGCTCTGCTCTGAGAACCCCCACGCACAGCCCCTGGCATGTAAGCTGCTCCTTGGATTGTGCAACTGAATGACACTAGCCAATATCTCCAGTCCCAGACACAACCCTAGGAATCTCCGTCTTGCAGTGTCCAGTTATGCCCGCTGGATGCTGCAAGCTTATATTAGTTGGTCAGTTTAACAAAGAAATTGATATGTACCAGGCTTGTTATCCCAAGGGGAGCCTCTGACACACTTCAAACCAAACGCACTGCTTCAGGTAGAATAAACAAACATTTATTAACTATGAAAGGTAGATTTTAAGTGATTATAAGTCAAAGCATAAGTCAGATTTGGTCAAATGAAATAAAAGCAAAACACATTCTAAGCTGATCTTAACACTTAACACTTAACACAAAATGTATTCACTACCCTTACAAACTTAGATGCTTCTCACCACAGGCTGGCTGGTTGCTCTTCAGCCATGCTCTATCCTTTGATCAGTGCTTCAGTCGCTTGGTGTGATGTCTGTAGATGTAGGTGGAAGAGAGAGGAAGAGCATGTCAAACGTCTCTCCCTTTTATCATATTCTTTCTTCCTTCTTGGCTTTGCCCCCGCCCTCCCTCCTGAGTCAGGTGAGCATTACCTCATCACAATCCCAAACTGGCCAAAGGAAGGGGGGTGATTCACTTGAGAGTCCAACAGATCCTTTTGTTGCTGTCTAGACCAACGTCCTTTGTTCCTGTGAGGCTGGGCTGGGTTTGTCCCGTACCTGCCCTGATGAGGTGTGAACTGCCTCTTTGCTCTTGGAGAGTTTTTGCTTGGGCTTATTTTAAGCCATGAGGACACATTTTCAGCCTCATAACTACATACATGAAATTATAACTTATAACATTACTGTAACAACAATGATCAGTGCATCATGAGCCTTCCGAAGACAGCTGACATGACAAAATTTGCATTAGATACCATACAATCATTTTACGAGGATGAACATGGGGATGCTGGGTTTTCCCCCAAGGTACAGAGCGTCACAGGGGGTGTGGGTGCAGAGGGCTCAGGGGATGGTCTAGGTGCAGAGGTGGGGGAGTCTGGGTGCAAGGAATCTGGATTCGGGGTGGGGCTCATGGGTAGGAGGTCTAGTTGGTGGGGGGGATCTGGATGCATGGGGGTTGGGTGGATTGGGGGGCAGCTCCCCATACAGTGACTCATCCCCCCACAGGTGGGGAGCAATGGGGACAGGAAGCAAGGGGGGTGTGGAACTTCCTGCAGCCAGGGGAGGTTCCTGGGGGTGGATCTGACCCAGTCCCAGCCTGTGCAGGGGAAGAGGAAGTCCTGTATCAGCCCACCCCACCCATAACTAGCAGCTGGAGCCTGGCACATGATAGGAGCCACTGGCTGGGGCATCACCAGGCCTGCCCTTCTCTGGCTCTGGGTGCATTGCAAATAGCAAGTCAGAGGGACAGAGTCTGACATGCATGCCTATCCCATCCCCCGATGGTGATTTGTCTCCCCCGGTTGCTCCCGACACCTGAACCAGATGTGCCCGCTCGAGACTGCTGCCTGGGAGGGCCGCGTGAATCAATTACTCTGTAGGGAAAGAGTAAAATATGTGGGGGACATTAAATTATGCGCTTATGCGGTGGTGCAGAATTCCCACAAGAGTAAACCCTGAACTACTGGAAGTTACTGACTAAGCACCTGAGAGCAGAGTTTGTTGAAGTGCTAAACCAGCTTTTAATAGCAGTAGCCTGTTCAGCAGGTGCAGTGTGTGTTTTCTCTTCATTTCAGCTAGTTTAGTTCAATGACCAGTTATTTCAAAATTAAGAAACCACTTGGGAGTTGAAAAAGCAGGGAAGCTTGTTTTACTCTTCCAATCTATGAATAAAAGCTAGGTGTGAAAGGATGAGATCTTGTAGTTCTAAAATCTGGAAGGACAAGGTGACCATAATTAATCAGTTCAACTCCAGATAATACTTCCTATGTTTAATAAATCAGTTTTAAATGCAAACATGTCTAATAAACTTTTTTCTTATGGATCCAGCACAGTTAAGGTTTTATTTAATAAAAACAGATTTAATTGAATTCCAATTTATATCCAAATGCAGCTTGACATTAATTTTTCACTTTTGATTTATCATCATCTAGTAAATAAGTAAGGCACTGTACACCATTTTTAACAATAAAAAAATGGAAAAATTAGAATCTAAATAAATGTAAGTTATATAATTTTTAAACAAATGTGTATAGATATAATGTATCCTCCTAGCCAACAAAAACAAATATGAAAGTTATTGTTAGGGCTATATTTAGTGGTAAATCAACATGTTTGAGTGTTTACCAACTAACAAGAAATCAACCTTTCTTTAGGAAAATAACGAAAAAGCAAAAATTCAAAACACAAAGTAGATTATTTAAATCAAGGTTTCCTGCTTCTTGATTTAAATCATGATTAAAATCAGCAATTTAAATTGCATTGATTTAAATCAATCCACCCTGAGCATTATGAAGTGAGGTTTGTGCATTCATTTCCCAGCAGAGAGGTGTTGAAAAACACCATTACTTGGTGGCAGTTGAATCAGAGAAGCCAGCTTATAAACAGGCATGTGGAGCCAAACTGTCTCACCAGTGGGCATGGGCCTTTCAATCAGGGTTTTGGTATCTTGGTGAGACAATGGGCCAGATTCACTGAAGCTGAAGAAAGCGATGTGTAAATTAGACCTCTCATAGTCAGATTCCTTTAGAGTTTTGCACACACACGCTACCCATGTCTAAGGGAGTTGGTGTGATTTATACCTGGAGGAGCTGAAGATGATGTAAATTAAAGTAGTGTGGGGGCTAATTTGATTTACACATTCTTCTAGCTTCTCAGCAGGTAAATTATGCTTACATAGACTCCCTTGGGCATAGGTAGACCACATGTTAGTAGCTCTATAGGTGTCTGTTAGTGTGGAGGAATCTAATTTTGGCAACACCTCTGAATTTGGAAATATGAGTCAAAGAGAATCTAAATAACCTTAAAAGGAGTCTTAATTTGGCATAAGAGACACATTGAAGGAAGAAAGTGTAAGCAACACCAAGGTAGGTTCCCACTTTTTCATACTCACTTAGGGTATGTCTACATCGGGATAAAAAACCCCCAACTGGCCCAGGTCACCTGACTCGGGCTCACAGGGCTCTGTGTAGACATTTGGGCTTGGACTGGAACCCATTTTTAGCCCCACAGCTTGAGCCCCACAAGCCCAAGTCAGCTCCCCTTGGTCTTTTATTCCTCAGT